ATATTCACATTGTCAATAGGCCGGGCCCGCCCCGGCTCACGGGCAGGTTTCGGGCCGCCCACGGGCCAATTTTACATTCCTAACAATGTAAATTTTAAAATATGAATGTTTACATCATAAAATTGCTAACCGTTCAAAAAATATTTATAAGGGTATCAAAATTAAATATAAGGGCATAAGTGTCTAAGAAAATAGTGTAAATCAAGAAAAAAAACTTTATGGAATAAAACTATACATACATGGGACTAAATAGGTTAAAAAATTCCTTCATGGACTTCTTGGGTTAAAACACTTCTAAATGGAATTTATCAATAATTTTTTCGTAAATAATCCCATGAAAATTGTCCCACACCCCCTAGGATAATATAATCCCCCATATGGGGGATAAAGAGTCCAGCCGGACTCCATGTCCAACAGATTGAAAAAAAAAATACCGAATAAAAAATTTCTTTCAAATTACAATCTCAACAGTAGATAGTTCCTCTTATCCCCCATCAAACACACACTTGTGCCTTCAATTCTATCCTTCAACTTTTTGTTTTTTTTTTAAGTCTCTTGTTCACTATTACTAATCTTTTTTTTTAGCCCTAATCATTTTGTTCACTCCATGCGATGTCCTTGTGAGCTGTAATGGCTCTGCTGTAAGTGTCTTTTTAGTTGCAACAGTGACTACCAAATCAACATCAGCAACAAGTAGCATGTATGAGGGTCTGGTCCCCCTCCCCATGGCAACAGTGACTACCAAATCAACATCAGCAACAAATTAAAATATATGTTAAGAATTTTAAAAAGATTATACATTCTATATAAAAATGTGTGTAATAAAAATAAATAATTTTATAACAAATGCAAAGATTTGTAATTTATGAATAAATAAGATGTATAAATAGAAACAGTCCATAGAAACTGCTCATAATTTTAGATATTTTTGAAAAATCAAAATTAAAAAATAAAAATAAAAATAAAAAAGTGATTTGTTGACACCAAATAATTTGTAAACTTTATATAATACACACCACAACATATATATAATAATTTTTTTTTTAATTAATCGATTACACTACAACATACTAATCATATGTATATATACTAGAAGGAAAAGCACACTGTGTGCAATTGAAAAGATCAGGGGCATGTTAGAGGCAGTTCAGAATATTGGCATCACTATATTGTAACTGCTCTTGTGGACATTTTCGGAAAAGAAAAATGTGTGACGTGTACACCAAGTCTATAAATAGAGGGTAATCACTAATTTCGGAGTATTTACACGTGGTATTTCATAGGATTATGATTAGTGGAGAAGGTGAGTATGCGAGGTATTGTGTTGGGTGATTAGGGAACATGAGGGAGCATATTGAATAATGATTAGTTAGAGAGTACGGACACGTGATACTCCGAGAATATTGAATAATTTCTCATAAATGGAACATATAGCAACAAGTGCAAAACAAATTTGTGAAGAAAGCATGTATGGTTTAGTTTTGCTTCTTCTGCAAGAGGAGAGAAAGATCCAAACAAAAAGACAAAAAGGAAGTAGACAGAGAAACAGCAATGCATATTGTTATCAACATTTGGGCATTTCTCCTAGCACACCTTGTCCATGTCTCCCTTTCTCTACATGTTCACATGTGCCCCCAACTTTCTTACTCTCCCCAATCAATTTATCAGTTATAATCAAGTCAATTTAACCTCAATTTGTGTGGAAACCTTATCATGTTAGTCTGGTGAATAAAACACTCTCTTACTAGATTTATGCGTGTTTCTCTTTTTCTTTTTCTATTCCCTTCATACCAATTATATATATATATATGAAACTAAACTTGTGTTAAGAAACAAGAGGGAAGCCTTGTATATATAACCATGAAAAGTATTTAATTTGAGGGTATATTACATTTTTCGCCCTTAAATTTTTATGTAGATTTTATTTTGATCAATCATCTTCTAATTATAACAATAAATCCTTAAATTGTGTTTCAATGTAGTCATTCCGCTACATACTATTAAAAATTTGAGCAGAAACTGCTCATGCGAGGGTCACATGAGTATCTTTTAGGGGCATTAAATTAATATGTGTGCGCGCGCTTGTGGGGGTTAATTTGCACTTTACAGCTTCTAGATTTTACTCAAATTTCACTACTCGTGTTTTAATTTTCACTTGAATTTTAAACAATAAAATCATGGGAGAATCACATTAAAAATTTAAGAATGAAAAGTAAAATTCACACCTAATTTAATCATATAACTTTACAAAAGCGAGCAACGAGGAACCCATGTTTTAACTAGAAATAAATGGATTAAAGTTGGTTGAATTTGTAAGAAATGGTTTTGGAAAAAACAGTTTTTTTTTTTTTAAACCTTAGTTTATTTTTTCAATGGGACTCATGTGCCAAAATTGGCGGGTCTATGTGGTAACGCTTTCTTTGTCACATTATCACGTCATATATTTGGTTGTTCAAAACCATTATCAGGTGAATAGAAAATCAATACTAAAATGAGCTCCATGGAAATAGTATTTTGGTGAGGTTTCCATAAGGGATAGAGAAAATGCTTGTTCCACATTGCTTGAGTAGGCAAACTTGGTGTGGATTTATAAGTCTTGGGTTTGCATTTTGGGGAGGGCCTCAAGTGATACCCTAGTTTTGTGGAGAGGAAGTTATGGGGAAAGTGGACCTTGACCCGTTAGAACCAAAAACTACCACACCCACCCAAATCAACATAGGTGTGAGGTTGGGTTGGACTTTTGTAGTCCAATATTTATTTTTTGGGGGCCAAAAATATTTATTTATTTATTTATTTTAAATTAAATTCTTGAAATTCAAAATAAATTCCAAGTTGACCCCAACATTTCTGAACGTTGGTAGTTTGGTCCATTGCACCTCTTCAGCTTTTTCCCTCTTCAACCCGAACAGGTTCTTTGCCTGTTCAAATCTATCCTGAATAGCCACCAATTCTCCTATAAATAGACAAATTCTCCATTTGGTTTTTCAATCAATTTTCGTTATTCATTCTGCTTCTACTTCCTGCATTTTGCTGTATTTATTTTCTGTGAGAAAAATAATAAACAAAAAATGTGTTCGCTGGACATTTAGTTTGTAGTGCTGTTACTAATTGTCGTCAATCATTTTATCTTGGGAGATAAACAGCCACATTCTGAAAAGTACCATGGAGAGGACGAATATGTTTTAAGAAGACAGTGTTCAATACTGGACTTGATTGAATTTCTGGAGAAGTAATACTGTAAGTGTACGAGCAAGAAATAATGTTCTCGTATAATCCTGTTAATCAAGTCTGCGCTCCTCCAAACGTCGTCGCTTTACTCCCTGAAAACAAAAACGTGAGCTAGCTGGCGGGTGTGTGCCAGATATCTCTCCGATGCCTAAGTCAGCAAAATAGACAAATAGACAAAAGCTCTGTATATTCGGAAATCAAAGTTGTATTACCTCTTCCATAGGTTTTGTTATGAGCTTTTAAAGGTTCCATGTGACACAATCCTAGTAGGACTCTTAGTCCTCCATGTAGAGTCCTCCTAGGAATCACACTCCTGAAAGATAATGTTTATCCTTCAACAACCCCCTCACTGCTTAAACCAAGTAAAATGGTTTTATCCCGGTTTGGACAATAGTATGACCGAGATAACGCTATCTCTTTCATACTTACCCCGGCGCCTTCATATGCGACACGTATCTCGGCTCATGTTTCACTTGTACCTCGGTTTTCACCTGTTTGGACCGGGCTAATCTGCAACAAGCCTTGACCGAGCTAAAGAGGCAAGGTCTAGCTTAAGGAGCCCACCATCCCGACCGCAGTGACTTGTAACCACCTGGACCAAGCTAAACACTAACACCATGGTCCACTTCACAAAGCCCTTTTTACCTCGGCCCACAAAACGGCAGCCAAGTAGGTTGCAATCAACTTGGGTAAATATTGCAAAAAAAAAAAAATACAAATAAATAATTGTTGTCACCTACTAATAATTCAGAAAACATCTTCAGGACTTGAATGGCCACAACTAAAAGCACAAAATAATTAAATAAATGAAAAGGATAAAGATTCCCAAAATGTGAAAGGTCGCGTGCTTACCTCGTGGTGGACCCAGCAATCGCAATTCTAATTTTAAATTGGGAATCATATCATATGATATGATAATATATGAAATAAAAAGTCTGAAAGCTACCCTAGCTAGCAGGACTTCACATTCATGTGCAACTATATTAACTGACAGCTCTCTGTTTTTTAGATTTCTTTTAGTAGTCAAAAAGTTAGTTAATTGATTAAAAACAAATTAATAAAAAAATTAAGTGGTGAAGTTAATTTTTAGCAAGAAAACTATTAACCCAAACAAAAATGCTTCGGATCACTACTGGGGGTCGACCCCCAGTGAAGTGGCGCATCGTGATTGGACAAAAAAAAAATTGTTTTATTTTTATTTTTATTTTTATTTTTTTTGAGTTTCAGCCAGTGGAGGCTCGCCACCTCACTGGGGGTCTGCAGCAGTTCTGTAACCCAAATGGCCTAAACTTTATTTTAGCAAAATGAACTTATAAGTAGTGTCAAACAAAATGTGTTGAGTTAAATACACCCTTATAATTTCCTTTAAATGTTAACTGTTTTTTTATACCATGGATCCATTCGATAAATGATGTGTGTACATATTAGAGTAATTAAAACTAAAAAAAGCAATAAAATTATTATTTTTTGAATATGATGAGTTCTATAAATATTTATGACATTTTTTAGTTATTCAATATAATATGATTATCAGAAAACTAGATTGATTTTGAATTTATTCTCACCAACAGATGTAATGCATCATAAAATCTGCTAAATAGGTTCTGGTAATTGAAATAACAGAAATTAGTTTGATAATCTCAATTTCATTCATGGTTTCATGTTCCCAGTATGAAACATTCTGCATGGATATAAAATAATTAGTCGCCGTTGGTGCTTTTTGTTGTAGTGAAATATGAATAAAATAATTATCACTTCATTTTAAAAGGAAATAATAATAACTTCACAAGGTGGTAGATTCCTTATAATTTAAAAGATTGTCACAATGAGAAGACAAATATGAAAATATAACATATCTTCTCCATCTTCCCAAATGCCCAAATTTCAATAGCCAACCATCTATACAGTTCGCTTTTAACTTATCAAGTTTCGACTTAAGAAAAACTATACCAAACAAGGAAAGCGAAGAAAGAGATAATGAATAAACAATAACGGATGATCTTCTTGAGACCTATCATTTCTTTTGTTTGCATGTAAATGTCATCTCCTTTGTTCTCTTATGTGCACAAAACCCTCATTTATTTACCTGAAAATAACAGAGTCCTAAGTAATGTCAAAAAAGACTCGATAAAATTTCCACAGGAATCAATCACAATGTGATAAATAAAAACGACAAGAAAATTTGACATACCGATTGATCTTTTGCAGTGAAGGACTGCCTCGTGTATTGAACTCTCCGAATCACAAGACCTACGCCAATCATCAACTGAGTAAGCCACGCTTGTCCGAGGAGACGTCGCAGCTGAGCATATCCAATTATCAACAGCTTCATTTCTTGAGCAAGATCTTCTTCTGCCTTGTAGTTTTCGACACAGTGGCCTGAGAAAAAATTCCAAATATTTCTGGAAGATTTGCTTTGACAATCTTCGACACTTTCTCAATGATGAACGATGAATCTTACTATCTGAATGCACATTTTTTGAAGCATGTGAAGAGATTGGAGTTGTTGGTGTAGAATCTGAAGAATCACATGGCTCGATTTTCAGTGGCTTGACAAAGAGAGGCATGAGGAAGCCGTCGGAGATGAGCTCATCGGCATGAACAAGAGTTAGAGGAGACTGTTGTGAGATAGGAAAAGCAAAGTTGAAGTCATGAGAGCCTCTGAAGAATCTCCTTGAGGGTGGTAGTTTTGGGTCCATCTCGATGAAGGAAGCTTCATCGGATGCATCAATGGAGGCACAAAGTGTGTCATCTAGGGTTTCAAACGATGGCTTTAGGTTTACTAACCAACTATATGAGAAGCTTTCAATGGAGAGAGGTTGAGAAGTCTCCATTGCTGCCAGTTGAGCAGGGTATGCACAGAATGATAGAGCAAATATGTATAATTCAAGTTAAACTAAGGATGGTATGTCTAGTAGATATATATAGATAGATAGATAGATAATATTACCGTACTATCCAATCCATAACAATTGTATATGTGGTTGTCTAGACTACAGACAAATATATTCATAATTTAAAATAAAATAAACAAATAAAAATAGAGGAAAGAAACAGAATTGTGAGCCCCCACAAACCACCCATAATGTACCGTTGCAACTTTAGTTTACCCTGACATTCTGTCATCATATTCTATTCTATAAGCTTCACAAAGGAGATGTGGTGACCTTCACAATTTTATTACCGAAGTAGTACAGATAACGACACGTAAACAAAGCGATTTTTAAAAAATATGTTCAGGATATATTAAAAAATTATATTTTCAAAAAAAAATGTTATATGTCAAATTTATGAATAATTTATTCAAATGTCATAAAAAAAAAAAGAAGCAACATAACAATAAATAAAATTAAAAGTCATATATTCCATGCCTTATATTGATGTCATTCACATAACAATTAACCATTGCAGAAGCAGAACATTGAATTACACCTGATGGATTTATCTTATGAATGTTTCAAAAATGTCTAAATGCACAAATTGCATTCCAAATAATGTAAAATATTGTTAATACGAAGAGATGCATCACTTAGATCATGTTCGAAAGGTTTAACAGGTGTCGTTGAAGTATCTGTTATTATGAATTTAAATTTTCAATTAAAACACGTTGAAGAAGTGTCAAATATGTTTTTTAGAGCGTCTGCAAAGTAGAGTGTCTGACACAAGTGTCCAACCGGATACATAAAAAAGTTCAAGCACACTACATAAAATATTCAAAGATGCTTTCAGAACTAAAATAAAGAAAGAATGACTAGATCATACGAATGTTTGGTGTTGCAATTTAGCACATTTTGAATAGGTACAATTAGGTTTGAAAGGTTGATTTCACCCCTATGATGCTTACATCCTAACTACTGCAGCAAACAGCTCAACCCAGACCATAAATACTTTATAGTATGCAAGTATTGTTATGCATATAATTCTGCAATGATTCCAAGAGGGGAAACAAATTATTAAACATATATGCTACGATTCTATAATATATTACAATTTTATATTATCATAAATACAATCATATAAAATGCCAGCATCATATATATGTATTATCATGTATGATCAATAATCACATTACCTTTTCCAATTGCAACAACATCATAGCAAAATTTCAGGACATGGAAATTTATATTTTTTATACATAAGAAAAGAAGAAATTATGATGATGCCTATCATCAAACGTAGCAATATTGTTGACCTTGAATCAGTAACAGAGACAAAAATATCAGAAAGTTTTCTTGGTAAGGAAATTTCAGGCTTTCACAACCACTAAGGATGCGTTTGTTTGGACTGACTGGATAAAGGGAGATTATAATCTATTGGATTGTTAGTCTTGGGATATATTGTCCCCGGACTATTTGGTTGGATTGGATTTGTATCATATGTTTGTTTAGTCATGGGATTAGATGTCTGGATTGGACTATTTTTAGTGAATTCAATGTTTGGTTAGATGGACTGGATAAGAATAAATATTCAAAAGACTATTTTACCCTTGTAATTTATAATTTATAATTTAACAACACTAAAAAAATTTAATTTGTTAGGCCATAATTTTTAATTTATTATTTTCAATTAAATTAAATTTATAATTTATAATTTATATTTTTTATTTAATATATAATTTTAAATTAACAACACTAAAAAAATAATTTATAAATGTTCAAAAGGCTATTTTACCCTTTTCTAATTGTTTGCTAAGTAATAGCATGGGGTAAAATAGATATTTCAGAGGCTAATCCCGTGGGATCCCAATCCCATGAAAACAATCCCACACCCTCTCCCATGGGATAGGATAGTCCCATATTTTATGGGACTAATAGTCCGGAGCAAAAAAAAAAAATGAAACAAACAATTGACTATTAACCCGGTGAAACTAATAGTCCAGTCGCACACTCTAATCTTTTGAAACAAACGCATCCTAACAGTTTGAGTGGTGGTAAAATCGACTCTTCTCCGGTTTAAATGCTAAAGGAAGTTTGTCCTTTTCAATCAAAATTGAACTAATTATTATTTGTGACTTGAAACCGGTCCCCAGAGCTGTCGAAGACCACCAAGGATCTTCTAGAGTGAAATTTTCCTAAAGTTTTCTAAAGTGCTACATTGTGTGGTTGAGGTTTACTGGCAAGTCACATCAATTTTTCTGATGTGACTTGCCAGTAAATCTTAACCACACAATATAACACTTTAGAAAATTTTAAGGAAAAATCACTTTAGAGAATCTTTGCTAGTCGAAGACAAGGCAAATGCAGACACCGGTCCCCAGAGCAATCTAAGTAACAAAAAAAATAGTAGACACCGGTCCCCAGAGCTGTCGAAGAAAGACATGGACGTCAGCAAATGCTCTAGGGACCAAAACCGGAAAGAGAAAGTGACTTGAAACCAATTGGTCCCCCCCTGATGTTCTCCTCCAAGACAAGGCAATTGCAAAAGTTTCCAAACATTCATAAAGCAATCAAACTCCAAAGATAATGTTATATATAAACTAGTGAAGAAACACAAGTATTTATTCAATACAATGAATATATCAAAAAAGAAAACCATGCAGTTATCAAAAACTTTATTGAAGTAGAAGACCTCAAGAAATAAAGTTTTACTACATCCATTACCATAAAGCTTACTCTAATCTGGAGCGATGGCAACTGTTATCCACTCTTAATACTTTATTATTATTTTTTTTTCTTTTTGACCAGCAACAAACAAAGATTTTATTAAGGCATAAAGTCAAAAGAAAAGAAGATAAAGCATCCTTTATAAAGAAAAATACATATAAAAAGGTAAAGTAGCCCATAGGGACAAAACTAAGAACAAAGAGGTCATTGAATATCACAAATTGACACCCAATCTACTGCAATAAAAACAAAAAATAAAAATAAAATAAAAAAAGGAAGAATTCCTTTGAACAAAGGATTCACCGACACCCAAAAAGAAGCCAAGTGTCGAACTTTTTCTCATAAAAAATAAACATCTTAGATACTTCTTCAAAGACACGCCCATTTTTCTCCAACCAAATGACCCAAAAAATCGCAAAAATAACACAAAGCCAAAGCACCTTGGCCTTCTTTGACCTGCTCAATACCAGAAAACCAATTAAAATCATTTATGCACTATTTTTTAGAGTCACCCACATAACATTCCGCAAACAAAACAACATTTGCCATAAGCTCACTGCTACTAGACAATGCAAAAATAAGATTCTCCATTCTTCAAACACATTATGCACCATTGCGGATTAAGGGAACGGAAAGGTCTCCTCTTTTGCAATGTATCATTTGTTAAAATGCCTCCATGAACCAAGATCCACATGAACATTTTTACCTTAAAAGGAACACATGTCCTCCATAATTTCTTGTAAAAAGGAAACAGAGGTATATAAGACTTATCAATGAGTTTGTCAAAAAAAGATTTACAAAAAAAGAATCCCGAAGAATGAATAGCCCAAACCCACTTGTCTTCCAAAATTGGAACCAAAGAGACATGTGCAAGCCTTGACAATAGATCCACCAATTCCCCAACTTCCTTATCATTAAGATTTCTAGGAAAATTAAAATTCCAAAAAAATTGGAGCCAAAGACAAGCATGCCATGAATGCAATAGAGCAATTATGAGACTGAAATACTCTATACAAATGCGGAAAAGGCAAGCAAAGGAAGAACTCACCCAAACATCTTCTCAGAATTTGGCAACTTTCTCATTATCCAACTTCACGGAAATGAAAGCCAGACTGAATAAATATGAAAGATTGATTTCCAAAGAGCACGACCATTATCCCCAGTGACCATCTGTGAGTTTCTACCGTTAGCACGACTCCCACACTTGCTTCTAATAACCTTGTGCCATGATGAATCAAACTCATTTGGAAATCTTCAAAACCACTTGCCAAGTAGAATTATGCTCCTAGCCATAATATTACCGATGGCCAAACCCCCTTTCTCTTTAGGAAAGGAAACTGTCTTGCAATTCACCAAATGATCATTTTTTCCCTTATCCTTCCCCTTCCAAAGAAAATCCTGCATCAATTTTTCTAAAGATCTCGCCACCTTAATTGAAATCTTAACCAAAGACAAAAAGTAAACTGAAATACCACTTAAAACTATCTTAACCAAAGTGTACCTACCCCCTCAAGAAAGTAAAGCCCTACTGCTCCACTCTCAATACTGTCACTCTAGTTCAAGTCACGGAAAATCAATCTGCCCACAAAATAGTGGGCAAAAGGCTTCTCTGTTTCCTTTGTCAGACCCTGTTATAAGTGAGAATCTTGTGCATTGAATATGAACATATTATGAGTAACACATCTGACAATTTATTATCCACCCAAAAAATCTGACAATCTATTCTTACTCACAGATGTTGAGCCTGCAGTTGAGTTGCTCATATTATGTTATTTTATTGGTTCAATTCAAAAAGTAAAGCACTATTATTGCATTTCACATCTACGAGTTTAAGAGTAATTTGTGAGATTACAGTTTTTTTTTATAACATTTTCCTTTTTTATTACCATACAAAGCTACTCTCTTTTAGTCAAAATCTTTGTTTTTGTTGTTCACTGTCATGCTGTGGAGATTTGCGTGAGCAGCAAGGAAATCATTGGAATACAATACCTACAACCCACAAAAAGAAAAATCCCCACAAAAATGTGAAGTGACAGCAGTATCCATCGAGGTGAAGTTGGGCTCTAAAAGATCAAATGGAATGATCCGTAGACAAGTAAAACCCCTTACCAATTCGAAAGTCCTCCCATAATTCAAGGGGTTCATTATTTGAAGGGAAGTAGACTACTCAAGAATTTCACATTTCATTTGTGTCGTGATTGAATGTCTAAATCAATCATCAGAAAATCCTATACACCAACACTACAATTATACACGGCAAGAGAAGAAATGGCGAATAGACCCGATTAACAAATATAAAAATACATAACAAGAATGTCATTTCATAATATCTAGGAATACAAAGGCATTCCAGAGGCTATGCAAAAGCATCGAAGCAAACAGGTTTCGTGATCGCGCAAAAACAGCACCCATCACCACCCCAAGGAATACAAGCGGTAACATCCTCTGCAAATTGAAATGTGCCAAAGCAAAAGCTATTGAACTCACAAGAATTGAGCACCATACAGGCATGTACCTGGTCAAAGAAGGGAGAAGAAACCCGCGGAAGACAATCTCTTCCCAAACAGGAGCACAAACCGACACTACAATGGCATAGAGGGCCATCGCCACCGGATCTCGTGAAATAATTGATTGCTCAATACTTGAGACTGTGACAGGTGCAGATGGAATAATAGGCAATAAATTTAAGTTGACTTGTGAGAGCCGGTTGACAAGGGGAAACATAAGGCAACCCAAGCCAACATCAAAGTGCCATTTCCCTCCAAGCTTAAACCTGAACCAATCCGATGGTAGAGGACGGAACCTTGCGAGGCAGTGATGGAGGATTGCAATCCCAGCAAGGCCTTCTGCCACGTCTGTCAAAAGAATATATAAAGCTTGTCCTCTGCATGTCAAGGATTCCTTTCTGAAACCTGCTGAGTGAGCCAAGAACGGAATTATCCAAGATCCTACTAACCAGAAGGAGGCAATCCAGAGGAGCATTACCTGCACCACCAGAGAATTTTACTTTGCTATTCTTCGTATTTGTTCTTTTCCATGCATTTCTATCATAAACTTCAAGAACAAAATAATTTCCAACCATTTGCTGGATAAATTAAAGTTTCCAGATGAGTATAATGGCATGTTAAGTTGGTTAACCTTCTTCTATACATAGAAAATGGGAATCCCAATAAGCCAGTGCTACTATGCTAGGGTAGAAGCTTCAAGGATGTGCAAAGATCTTGCTTTGTTTCCATAAGAAAATTTCCCCACACACACACAAACAAAAAAGAAAAAAAGGAAAAAAAAAAAAAAAAATCCCTCAATTCAATCGATTTCAACTGAAAGCTTCAGAAATTTGATAAAAAGTAATAAAAAACAATCATCACCCTCATCATCAAGATCACCTCTGCTACAGTCACTGTCAACTAAACAATTCATGGTTACATAAATGACATTAATAAAATCTAATTGGATAATAATCCATCAATACCTACTTATTAAACTGTCATTATGATATTAATAGAGCCTAATCAACATCATCACCAGCACTACCAGCATTAGCTGCTCCACCCTTGCAACCACAGCTACCAAGACACAGCAACCACAACTATTAACACATTACCCTTGTGTTGCCTCTGACTACTGACCTATTATTGGCATCACCTCTCGCCTATAAGACCATGACCCCACCAAATCAACAACCCCGCACCCCCCAACAAAAAAAACAAAAAAAAAAAAGTGACAACACACCATATCATGCCACCACAGGCATTGCAAGCTACAACCTCTAATTTGTCAACTTTCTCTTAGCTTACTGAGAGTCTGAGACACTTACCACTGCCACTTTGTCACCCAGCTACCTCCCGGCTAACCCAATGATCCCACCCCACAACACCAGTATTAACTCCACCCAAAAACCCCTTTTTCTATCTTTTTTCATCAAGGCCATCACATCCTTATTTCCACCTTATAAAATCACATTGCTGTGGCTGCCATCCTGGCGCCCACATTGCATCACTGTTTTTGCATCTTATTGCCACTGCCAGGTGGTTAGTTAGTCGTCGACACCACCAATCATCATGTTGTCAAATCATTTTTGCCTCTTACCTCTCCAAGAAACCCACTGGCAAGGTGGAAATTGTGGTTTAGCCTCAGTTCAATCTTAATTACTACCTTTGCATTGCCAACACATACCACCACCAAACTATCACCTCCGACCATTATAATCACTTCTTTCATCACAAAACCAACACCACACTATACATGCAGGCTCCATACTCTAGTTTCTTTCAAAGACATGGTCAATAATGTTACAAACTATTCCTCAAAGGGTCTTGCTAATGAGTGCCCCTAGGGCACAAGTAAAAGACAAAAATTGAAGAACACAAGACACTTTTTGCTAAATTCAATACACTTTTATTGAAATCAATACATTGTTTAACATTTTTACATATTTTCAAGACACTTTTTACACACTTTCCAACATTAACCAATGCCTAGGGGGCACTTGTTAGCATTTGCCAATACCTTTTTCCATGAGTACTATTCTTTAAACATACTGTCGCATACTAAAGCATTAATTACTCTAACTAACCAAATCCAACACTTAATGTAATGGTAGATTTAAATTTCTGATCAATAGCAACACAATTACTTCAAATTTAGATTATTTACAACCTTTTTTTTTGGGTAGGTAATATTTACAACCTTTACGTACAACATTTCCAAATATTTGACATTTACAAGCTTATGCTTGCTCTCCATTATGGCCCACAAATTCTAGGAGCCTACAACAGCATTCCTTGTTAATGGAAGATTGTATTTGTCATATTTCCCCTTTAGTTGAATATTCATATCGATAAGCACATGATAGAAAAAGTCTGAAACTCGCTCATCATTGTTGAAAGGCTTTCCATTGCAAATGATTTGCTATTTACTAATACTAGATAAAGATGGATTCATGACACATTGTTAAAGTGCTTTTGTAGGACTCGGAATATTTTATAATAACAACTATATGATAAATGAAAAAAATGATTTACCTGCAGAATGGTCTTTGCTGTCCATGGCACTGTCCAAGGTTCTGCAATAAAAACTACATCTGCAGCCTGAAACATAAGCAGAAAATTACTCACTAATCTCAAACATCATGATCGGAGTTGATTTTACACTTTTACAGTTGAACCTAGCATAGATTTTCTTAATTTCCCTTAATTGGGCTATGCAAAAATTTAAAAAAGACACAAGGGGCATTCAAAAAAATAAAATAAAATGACAACCAATGCACACACTTTAGAACTTGATTACAAAATCCACTCATCAACTTATTCTTTTAGGAAAACGAAATTAGGATACTCTTCTCAGAAACTAATTACTCCATGGGCATTATGTCTCTGAACACCATATTTCCCATGTTCTACTCACTAATTGTCATTAATGGATTGTAGAATAGTCATTCATAATCTTTACATTATTCACATGGGGGTATTATTACATATATTATTACATGGACAACTAAGAACTGAATGAAGTATCTCAGTCAAACATGACCAGAACTCTTGTTAGAAACTTGATTCTTCTATAAGAAAGATGTGTGCAAGCACAATATTTCCCATTTCTACTTTATGATAATTATTATGAATTGTAACACAGTCATTCATATTATTTTTCATGATGGGGTCGTCTAAGAAAGAAATGAAGTACCCCAATCAATAGCCAAAGAAGAAATAACTAAGGCAGACTCAACAAAGGAAAAGTGCATGATGTTAAGCTGAACCCTGTCTTTGGCACCACAGCACTCTAGGGTTCTGCAGGCTTGGTGGCGAGAGATGAGGTCCTCCACAGAAATCGTAGCACATTCTCCACCCACATAAAATTTCTAATATACTTTCGTTACCTGTTCCCAAATTGATTCTATTATTCAAAAACCTATGTGGGATAGACCTTGTCAGTAGACTTCTTCTTTTTCTTTTCTTTTCTTTTCTTTTTTGCCAACATGGTAGAAAACTAGAAACACTATTAAGTAGAAAAAGAGAAATCAGAAACCTGATGGATCAACAACTAACCCATGCCTTGATATCCAAAGATTTGAGAATCGGATAGATCGACACTTAAACACACCTACCCAGCCAAGGCATTTACTTTATAATGTATGTGATTAACTAAGAACCATGATCAGATAATTTTAGATAATCAGATTGTTATAACATGTCAAGAGCTGTTAAAAAATTAACTAATGTAACAAAACATAATTAGTTGAGAATAATTTGATTTTTTTAACCTTCCCACTATTTTCTTAGATCTGAATGGCAGCATACTGCAAGGCGATAATTGAATATGAAGGTGTACCATCTCGGAAGACTGTTACATATGTAACTTAACTTGTGAGTGAAAGTAAGCAATCAATTAGTTTCCAACTTAATTATTTTTCTTTATTGTTTTAATAAGTAAACAACTAATAGGTTCCAACTATTATGAGTTAAGACCAAAAATATCATAATTGACTAATTTAATAACTTTATCTTTTTCCATTTGTAGTATGGTTTCTCATTCATTTTCCTTCCAAGGGGGTAGAAGAGTTGAAGAAACAATGCAAGAAACCATAGATTTTTAATGAACATGACAAGTTAAATGGAGCTAAAATCGAAGCATATCTTTTTACATAGGGCACATCTTGCCTAGGCAATCCTACAACCAAGGCATTGCCTAAACAACTTGGCAAGAGCGAAATTCAAGTGATTTTCTCATGCTTGATGAATGAAATTCAAGCTTTATGCAAAACATAGGACAAAAATCTGTATATATCCACAATGGCAACTTCAAAAAAATCATAAATGTCAGTTACCCATTCAAACTATTTAAGTGGTTTTACAGTCCAAGACATAAAATTTAATACCTACTCAAAGACATCAGATATTTTTCTTTAAAATGATCGACTTTCTGGAAAATAAAAGATATTAAAATCTACCCATATTCAACAAAAGTAGTATCAAGTAAGATGCTTTGGTACTGAGAACAATAAATAATTCCCACCAATGTACTAAAACTAAAACTTACTGTCCAACCAAAAGAAGTGAAAAATACCTTTCTAAGACTTGAAGCCCAATCATCATATCCAATATTCGATTGTTCAAATTCAGGGTTCACCAGTATTTCCGGCAATTTATCATCTACATTCTCGGGCTCAAGAAATTCTGAAGAAGTGTCTTCATGCCTAAAGCATGAAATTTGCCATTTCTACAAGACAACAGAAAAACATTAGAAATATAAAACATCAATGCAATACTGAATCTTCTCTTCGCTTCCAAGAGGCCAGAGGAAAAAATAAGTAAAGTAAACCTCAATAATTATGCTTCTCAATAGTGAAAAACACGCCTTAACTAAGCCTACAAGCCGTATCAATATTAGTTGCGCCAAGGATTTAAACTTTTTCTCAGTAACATATGGAGGTTAATTGAAAGACTACAAAAATCAATCTTTGCTCCATTTGGGTAATGAGAAAACAGAGGAAAATAAAAGGAAAACAAAATGAGATATATGTTTGCTATCGTTTTAGATAACGAAATTTAGAAAACCTCAATCCATTTAGTTTGCAAAAGAGTTGTGACATTCCTCAAGTCCTACCAAGAATCACAAATTTAAGGGCATCTCCAAACCTTACCCTTTATTTACCCATATCAAATTTAAATTTGAGTAAAAATGCCCAAAATCTTTCTCCAATCCTTGACTCAAATCAAGGGAGACCCTTTTTTAACTCAAATTTCTAAAGGCCATTTGTAGTGATATAGCAACTTCTAAATTTACAATTGTGCCAATTACCAAACTTTTACTCAAAATTTGTGTTTAGCCATTGGAGTACTCTTTTCTTCCCCATTATCTCTCTTAGAAACAAAATGAAAATCAGATTCACATGCAAATTATATACATACAAAAAATATATACTTGATGAATAGAGAGAGAGAGAGATTACATGTTTGGAAGACTTGGAGAGAGAGCCGAGGAGGAGTGAAGTCCGATTGAGTGGGAGGGGGGATTTGGAGAACTTGAGAACCCTAGCTCTGGAAATGGGATGTGAGAGAAGAGAGGGACGATAAGAGAGGGCTTGACAGAAAGGGGCTGACATTGGCTACAATCCGGAGATTGGAAGCCCTATGTTCATGCTGCATATCAGAGAGAGAAAACCCTAATTGTTTGCATCAGAGAATGAATATGGAAACCCTAATTGCCTCGTTCAACCAACTTGCAGATGAACAGCTCCAACGACGTTGTCACTTGCCTTGAAAGACAGGGAGAAATAAATGGGAAAATTACTTGGTATAAATAAAGTACTATATATATATAGGCTTCTCGTGACAACTTGGTTTTTAGTCACTTTTTTAGCCCCATTTGACAGGGTTTATTTTTAATTTATTTTAATTTTTAATTTAATTTAAGTTATTTTAATGTGTTTGGTTTAGTTTAACAATACAGTTTATAATTTTTTGTAAGTTAAAAATCAACTTATTCTTTGAGTGGGGATGAGAAACTTAATTTATAAGTCAAAAATTAGCTTATGTTCACAGCTATAAGTTATAAGCTGTTAAGTTATAATCACTTTTCCACAAGTTTACCAAACGGGGCCTTTATAGCAAAGTTAAAAGTTAGTTTTTTTTTGTATTTAAAGATATTTAGAAAGTTTGTTTTTATTCACTGGTGAAATGATAACTTTATTTTTTATAGGTCAAAATATGCACAAGGGATTCTCTAGATTTTTTTTTTTCTCCTAAAGTGGTGTATTGTATGGGTGAGATTTAATGCTAAAAAATTGATGTGACTTGTCATTAAATCTCAACCATACAACACACCACTCTAAGAAACTTTAGGAAAAAAAAAACTCTAAAGGATCCTTACTCCAAAATATGTTATGTGGGTGAAGTTATAAATATTTTAAATTGAATGAGAGTAATTTGGTCATTTTATTGTGATTAACATCATAAATAAATATTAATCAAAAAAGTCAAAAGTAACTTTTTACTAACTTCTCAAATCACTTCTCTAAAAAAGTCAAAAGCTTAGTTAAAAGTCAAAAAGTCATTTTTTATCATCTTTTCAAAACATCCCATAATTTTAATTATTAATGTTAATAAAATTTATTATTTATTTATATTTTTTTAAAGTCTATATTGAATTAAAAATTTCCTGAAATTAACTTTTTTTTCCTTTTATTTTCTTTGTTTTTAATAATGACATAGTTTAAAAATAAAAGATTGATGAAAAAATGACAAAATTTTATTAGATAATTACACAGTTTAAAAATAAAAGATTGATGAAAAAATGACAAAATTTTATTAGATAATTACACAGTTTAAAAATATGGGTACATAATCGCTTGGTTTTCTGGCTTATGTAATAATTTTCGCTTATTATAGATGTGAAGAGTTTACTTTTTTGTTACGCTTTTTTTCTTTTTTTTCTTTTTCTTTTTTTTTTTTTCGGTTTTGTATCTTTGGTGAATTTGTGTTTTAATTTTTCAAAAGAAGTTTTAAATTTTTGGGTTCTATATCTACTTGACTCGACATATTGGAAAAGTAGAAAAAAATTAAAAATTTTGAAGAAAAAAAATCAAAAAAGACAAACAAAAAAAGCTAAAGGTTTTTCCCAAACTAAGCTCTTATACTAATTTATTTCTCAAACTAAGCTTAATTTGGCCGAATTTTCCAAACTAAGCTGAAGCGTGTTTACAAAACACGCTTTCAGCATGTTTCTGTCCTAGGCGGTAGAATTATGAAAACGTGGTTAGAAAATACGCCTTTACTTAAGAAAGCGTATTTACAAAACACGCTTTCAGCATATTTCTGGCCCAAGCAGTGGACTTATGAAAACATGGTTAGAAAATACACATTTACTTAAGCAAGCGCTGTAACTATTAACGCTTTCAGGTAATGATGACGCGATTTGAAAACACGCTTTTAATAGAAACCCGTTATGAAATGGCCCACCCCCCCTTCATTTGCAACCACGCTTTCTACCTCCTCGTTTTGTTTTCCTCCAAAACCCCAACCAAAGGCAACCTTCCTTCCTCTCTCTGTCACTCGCTGCACCTTCCTCTCTTTCTCTCTCTAAGCTCATCTCTCTCGCAGGTATGTGGCACTGTCTCTCTCTTTCTCTCTCTCTTAGTTACAATTTTATTTATGTTGATTTTGTTTGTGAAAATGCGAATGTGGATAGAATAGTGAGGAAGGAAGTTTGGAAGAAACCAATGTGGGTTAGGGCTAGGGTTCTGTGAATTCAAATTGAAGTTTTGAAAGGGTTGGGGCTAGAGTTCTGTGAATTCAATCTAGTGGTACATAGCTTTTGCCAAAGTGATAATTAATTTTTTTCTAAAGAAATGTGAATTCAATCCAGTGGTACCCCATTTTTTAAACAAAGAATAGGCTTAGATTTGTAATAACAACAAGAGAAAAGTTAGGGATTATGAAAAAACTTTCATGAAAATGATCATGAAAGATTTATGTGTTGGAACAATTTTCTGTGTGAAATAAAATAACTTGAAATAATCAAACAAAATAAAATAAATCTTACAGAATTTATTTCGTTGAACCGAATAAATAATTCAAGACTAAGTCGAGTGTATGACACTCTGTCCTTAAGACAGATTCGCCCCGCTACGGTGCTTACGGTTGAGTGGCGTCTATCTCCCAAGATACAATAATCTTCACAAATCTGTAGAAGCACTTCAAACAAATTTGTTCGGCGAATCAAACCTGTGATCTATACTCTCTTTAATTTATTCTAAAACTAAATATGAAGAATAAATGCATTAGAGAAAAATTGGACAGCAATGAGACAAAATAACAGACTGAATTTTTCGATTGTTTTTTCCCGACTGTTTTTTTCCCGACCCAAACCGCTGGAATCATAGTAGTATATATAGGCAAAAAACCTTAGCCCCGAACAATTTTCACAAAGAAGTGAAAAGGTGCTTCAATAAATGAACAGGTGCAACACTATTTATAGTTGTTCTGTCCATTGCAAAATTTCAACCAATTTAAAGAAGGTTCCGAAAGTGTAGCAGTTAAAGAACTGTTGGACCTTTATTATTTAAACCATTTGAATATATATATATATATATATATATATTAAACTATTTGAATAGTTTAATAAATAAAGAAAGAGGTACAAATTTTAAGAAACCACAAAGGAACCTAAAATTTGAATTTAGAATTAAATTAAATTTTCATAATTACAAATTTCAGGAACCCAAAATTTGAATTTAGAATTAAATTAAATTCCCACAATAATTTTTATTGAAAAAATTCAAATGAATTTTATCTAAAAAATTAATGTTATACCCAAAAATGACGTCACTTTCCAATTCACTCATAAATGGTTTTGACGTGCCGTCTTTACCGTGTGACTTGCCACGCGGCAAGGAACACTTCACCTCTTCGGACCCATCCCAAAAGACGTTTGGGGCCCACTCAAATTTAGGCTAAAAAATATGCCTATATTAAACCATTTTTTTCCAACAATCCCCCACATGAATGGAATTTGAGCGAGAGAAAATGCAACAACATGACCTAATAACAAAGAGTACAGAAATTGGTAATATTCTGTAAAAGATAGGTAGCTTTTGGCTTTGAACCTTCCCTTGTGAGACACTATCGGATTTACTAGCTAACCAGTGAACACGATGTCTTGAACTGTTCAGTCGTTTGTGTAAACCAAGACAATAGAACTCACACAGTATATCTCCAGACACAGTTTAGTTCTCACTATTGTGTTCATTTTGGCCCTAAACAACCTGGTCTTTCATGAGTGCTCTAAAGACTTGTAGCCCTGCACAAATCTCATAGAACCGGCCCAGTTCACACTCACATAGGTGATTCTTATGAAGAATATCCTGCCATACTCCACTAGGTTTACCTAGATATAAGAATTATTAAATTTTACTTAACCTAAAACGCTGCAGACATCACTATTTCATCATAGAAATAGGTAAGAGTTAGATTCCCCAGTGATCCTTCTGAGTCATTCACAACTCGGTTGTCCCTTTGAACATAGATCTTGGGATCTCCAGTCAACTAGGTTGGGTTGCCGTTTGTAGTAACTCTTATCTAATAGGCTTTAGTCTCATTCCCCTTGATGAATTCTCAACTAACTCTCTTGCTAACCCTTTAGTTAGTGGATCCGCTATGTTGTCTTTAGACTTAACATATTCTATGGAAATAATTCCATTAGAGAGTAGTTGTCTCACGGTGTTATGTCGACGACGAATATATCGTGACTTACCGTTATACATATGACTCTGTGCTCTACCAATTGTTGATTGACTATCACAATGTCTGCATATAGTAGGCATCGGTTTTGGCCATATTGGAATATCTTCAAGGAAGTAGCGAAGTCATTCTGTCTCTTCCCCTGCTTTGTCTAAGGCTATGAATTCAGATTCCATAGTAGACCTAACAATACAAGTCTGTTTGGAAGATTTCCAAGATACAGCTGCCCCACAAAGAGTAAAGACATATCCACTGGTGGATTTCGAGTCTCTAGTATCCGATATCCAATTTGCATCACAGTATCCTTCATGTACTGCTGGATATCTAGTATAGTTAAGCCCAATGTTACGAGTAAATCGGAGATATCTAAAAACCCTTATAATTGTTTTCCAGTGTTCTACTCCTGGATTACTCGTATATCTACTTAATTTACTTACCGCATAAGCTATATCTGGGCGAGTGCAGTTCATCAAGTACATTAAGCTTCCAATAATTTGGGCATATTCTAATTAAGAAATACTTTCCTATACATTCTTAGAAAGATACAAATTAACATTGATTCAAATCATAAATGTGAAATTTGCGTTGAGGCAAAATTATCTAAAACTCCTTTTCATTCAATTGAAAGAAATACGGAACCACTTGAATTAATTCATAGTGACATTTGTGATTTTAAATCAATTCAAACTAGAGGTGGGAAAAAGTATTTTATCACTTTTATAGATGACTATACTATATATAGTTATATTTATTTAATTTGAATCAAAGATGAACCTTTGGAAACTTTCATTCAATATAAGAATGAAGTTAAAAATCAACTTGGTAAGAAAATCAAGAAACTTAGAAGTGATAGAGGTGGTGAATATGAATCACATTTTGGTGAGTTTTGTAAAGAACATGGAATAATTCATCAAACCACCGCTTCTTACTCACCTCAGCAAAATGGAATTGCTGAAAGGAAAAATAGGACTTTAAAAGAAATGATGAATGTCATGTTAATAAGTTCTGGATTACCTCAGAACTTGTGGGGGGAAACAATACTTTCTGCAA